TTTAGTAAAGGAAATGATTCTATATAGATCCATGAACACTCAAAGAACCCTTTGCATGATTAAAGGGTTCTTTTCCATCGAGAAGGGGTTCTTCAGATTGATGGAGAATGTGCTGTAGATGATTCCATATAGAACCTTCTTGAAAATGGTTCTATAGAGCACCAAAATGAATCTTCTATTGTCACAAGCTTGACATCACAGCAATAGAAGAACCCTTTTTGCTGCTATACAGAACCATTGTCTTTACTAAAGAACCCTTGAAGAACCATCTTTTTGAGAGTGTAGTTATACTCCCTGATGGAATCAGACTCATCTCCTGAAGCGCAGGCCTGCAATCCATGCAGAACCAGCGCATAATAGAAAAGAGGGATCTACAGCCTCCAGAGAGAAAACATAAGCAAACTGTAAGAGGCTTAATATGTTGCAGGATAGAACTTTAAGATTTCACAATCGTGAAAAAGTATTATTTGACTTTTATAAGAAGCCAGCCTACAAAACATTGCATAACAAGCATCTGTTGGACTTGTGAATCAATTCCACTGATTTATTGAAAAGAACCGGTTCAAAGAAAGGTTCATTCACAAGTTGGACATCACTAAGGGCTGGAGCTGAGATGCACTGAAGCAAGATCTCATCATTTCTTCTCCTCTTTGCAGTAATCACTTGGTTCAGCACAGTCAAGTAGAGAGATTTATTTTTTAACACATCTATTATTTTAATATTTTTTCTGTTTTTTTTTGTTCACAGTACCCTTCCCTCGCCCTTTTCTTCTTCCTTTATTCAGATTTTCCCCTAATGGAAAGTATGAATAAAGGTCACTTGCACTTCTTTCAAAAGTGTCGCTGAATAAGAGGTTCATTGCTGATTAGTTCAGGTCTGAGTAGGTTCTGGGAAAAATAATCAGAATTATCATTTCAAACATGTAATGAAATAATGAGAATCATCAGGTAAAAGCCAGTGTAGGTGTGGGACATTTCCACTTACCAGCTAGGCATAAAAGTAATTTCTAGAAATTTAGAAATTTAACTCAAAATGCAATTTGATTTTGTACATCATGTTGTTCAGCCAGCCCAGACCAGCCCACCCCAAACTTACTCTTTCAATATGCTACAAATGAATGCTAGCTAAGTAAAGAAAGTTTAGTGTTCGGATATGTCCTCATCCTCCTTAAGTAGCTTTTTCATTCTTGTCTTCTCAGTGCTATCTTGATTTTGTGGAACTCTTGCTATATCAGTAATGCAAAATAAAGTGATGAACTCTGTAGAGCACTGCCTGCTGCATCAGCCAGTATTAGATTTACTCTGTCATGCTAAATTTGATACTCTAATCTTGTAAAGCTGATGTTGACTTTTTATTTGAATACTTGTTCCACCATAAATTGTGCAGCAGTTACATGCTAGCACCCCTACAGGTGTCTCATGTGACTGCTACATCATTTAAGGTGGAAGGGGAAATGAATAAAAGAAGCTAACTTCAGCTTCATCTAAATTCAACAAATCAGTATAACTTGAGGTGGGGGCCACTGGTTCTTAAAAAACATGGTTCTTCAAGGGTTCTTTAGTAAATACAAAGATTCTACAAAGAACAATGAACACTCGAAGAATCATATGTATGCATATATGTTTTTTTCATGGTGAAATCATTTTTCAAAAAGATATGGTTCTACACAGAACCTTTTTGAAAAAGGTTCTTCTATTGTTCCACTGTCAAGCTTGTAACAATAACAGAACCCTTTTTAAAGCTATATAGAACCCTTTTCAAAATATATAACACCTTCATTTCACCATGCAAAGAACCCTTTAACCCTCCATTGCACAATGCTGCCTCAGGGCAACAAACTCATTTTCCTCACTTAACAATAACATTATACATATTTAAAGACAATGATAGGGTTAACAATAAAGGGAAGAGTTTGAGTAAGTCAATAATAGGCATGTACTTGGTGATACTATCTTTTTTTAAAACTCATTTTTATCATCATAATATCATTCATGGATTTAGCCAGTTACAAGCCACATCTCACCACTTCAGGGAACACAGCTCTATATAATTTTTTCCCATTGTTGCACAATGTTGCCTCCAGGCAGTATACTCCAAAAGGACCCCTGCACACATTATTATTTTTTTATGTTTGTGAATTTAATAATCAGGTCTGAAAAAATAAATCAAGGACCATTTTATGCAAGAAAAGTGAATTGATTTTTTAATGGCTCTCATCATGTGTGCAGTAGGTTAAGCAAATGATTCTTTGGGTGTTCATGGTTCTATACTGAACCATTGTCTTTCTTAAAGAACCGTTAAAGAACCCTTTCACTTGGATGTAACATTAATAGTTTGTCTGCATGCTCTTGTACTTGTGAGTTTATTCATTAGCTCACTGTAACTGTCCCAAAATGTTCCTGGCCCATCAGGAATTCTCCCGAGTCTCTCGAGTACCCATCCTGGCATTGCTTAGTCGTAAACTCTTCCTCCTCCAGCTTTGTGCTGCTTGTTAGCCTGCTGGCCTCATAGTGGATCAGGGTTACTTGCCTGCTCAGAACTGGCTTGAAATTATTTTTGCAATACTTTTGCAATTACAACTTGAGAAAGTTTTGTCAAATAAATAAAAACTACTGTAAACTGCTGTAGGCAGCTGCTATAAATGAGTTCAAAAGAAAAACTGAAGAATCAGAGCCTCTTCACACACACAGGCACACACACATGCATATACAAGCACAGCAACGTCTAGATGTACATACATACAAAGAATTTGAGCATCAGCAACACATGCTGTGGCCACATCCAGGCACATTTTGCACTGCGCCTTCTCAAGTGTACATCTGCTCCTGTGAGTTGAAATCGAGTTAGCCAGCTGGTAAATATTCTTTCAGCATATGCTGGAGGCTCACGCCCCCCGTCTAGCTGCTGTATCTGCTGCCAATGTTAACGGATGCCTCTTGAGACACACTGCTAATTTACATCTGGTACTAAAGGGGAGTTCCACCAATTTTTTCAAAATCTCAGCATGATTACATAGTTAAGAAGTAAATACAGTCATTCAGACTGGATTGATGTGAAATGTTCTGTTGTAGATAAACATAGCGAATCAGAATTGTTCACAGTAGTGGTGACTGGAACTAAGTGTCTGAAGTGTTTAATGCCTCTAAAGTTTCGCTTACAGAAATTTATTACATAAAATGGTTACAAATATGCTGTGTTATGATAGTTTTCCAGTTAGGTTTAGTCCTAAAATGTACTTTTTAAAATATATTTGTGGCAGAGCGGTACATGTTGGACACTGTCAAACAAAATAGTCTGGTGACACTTTATTTTGAGTGGTCCTTTTAGATGAAACACTCAACTGATTCTCAGTAACACACCAAAACTTGTAAGGGTTAGGTTTAGGTTCTGGGTTGAGGTTAAGGTTAGGGTTAGGATTAGGGCTAGGGTTAGATTTTGCATAACATATTAACATATTAACAGTACATCTTCAAGATATTTACTTCAGATGCTTCACTACTGCTACTTCACTGATATGTTGTTAATGCGCTACTGATACTCTATTAAGAGTTTATTAATCATCTACAAGGGACCAGTCCAAATAAAGTGTTACCAATAGTCTCTAAAGAAAACCTACCGCTATTTTTTCATTAACAACACTGCATATAAAAACCTCAGAAGACATGTGTAGGTTTACTGGTGGTTTTGGACTGTTAATAAAATATGCTTGTGATGTAGACATTGTGATCCTCTCACCACCACTGTTAAGAAATCTGAATCTACAATGCACATCAGAATACTTTGAACTGTCTCAATTACTGAGTTATGCAAAAATTTTGAAAGATGGTGGTGGTTCCCCTTCAAGAGGCGCCACTTAATTGCTCAAGCTTTAGTAAGTGGAGTGGAATATGTAACCTAATCAGCCGTACTTCCAATAACTCCGCCCATTTTCACATGTATGACGGAGAGAAAAACATGTTGCCAGGTTGGTAGAGAACACGCGAGCAGAATGCATCATGTTTGTGCCTAAAACTGGCTCAACACGCTCAGCACATCTGGCCCTAATTGCGCCGCTCGCGAGTGAAGAGTCCTCCATTCAGTGCAGCTCGCGCGCGCTTCTTCAGACTGGATCCAATTACGTCATAAAGGAGAGTGAGAAAGGAAATCAGAGCGCTCTCAATGAGTTAGGGTGTGTGCGCGTGAGAGAGAGAGAGAGATGAAATAAAAGCGAGCGACATATTCAGCCACTCTATTCCGGAACGCCGGTGAAAAAGCCTTTTTTCCCTGTCAGCGCTGGCGCTCTTGTTTCTCGCGATGACTAACTGTGAAGTTCGCGTCATTTCCAAGAAAGCCCCTGCAAAGCTTTGGCACATTGCCTCAGCCCACCCAGCCTGTAGTACATGTCCGTATTCCTGTGCACTTATTCTCACCTCTTCTCGTGCTGCGCTTGATCTGACCTATTGGGCAGTCCTGGCTAGGCTTGGCGTGAAAAATACAGTTGAGGGGTCAGCCTGTATTTTCTGAGAGTCAGCACTGCCCAGTTAGCCTGGAAGCCAACCGTGGAAGAAACCATTTGAGCGACTATAATGAAATAGGAAAAGTTTCTGGGTTGAGTTCTCCATGACCATGACGCAGTAGACTGCCCTCACGCTGGACACTGATGCTTCAGATGATCTGAGGGCTGCGGTTCACTCGCCCGAGCGTCAACTTTGTTGTAAAGAAGTGTGGAAACGAACATATTTGCATGTTTCAGTATAAAAGGCTAAAATAAGGCTTTGAAAGTTTCTTTTAGAACGACGAGCACGCGCAACAGCGGAGCGCGATAAACTGTATAAATATGACTCTTTGGGTTGTTGGGCTTACAGTAGCCCAAACTGCGTGACCAGCTCACTGGTCGCCCTTTTGCGATCCCGTTTGCCATTTTGTTGAGTTTCGACCACGGAAATTTCTGCGTGTCAGTCAAACAGGGGCTCGTTTTATTGAGAACTCTTCAGACAGGCTACTGAAATGAATGTACTCACAGTTGCTGGCCCGCAGCGCTGAAGTCAGAACACTCAGCAGCGCGACGAGGAGCATCCGCGTGTCGTTCTGCGAGCCCATGCTGTAAAGAGTACTCCGCTTTACTGCTGTAGAGCCAAAGCTACTTTCCAGCGCACCTCGGTAACTCCAGCCTTTGAGAAAATAGCTCCAAGCCGTTTGCTTTGCTGTGTCGAGCCACAGAGAGGGGCGGCCACCAGTGAACGCTCAGCGTCTCCACTGAGCCTCTTATAGGCTCTCTCTCTCTCTCTCTCTCTCTCTCTCTCTCTCTCCCCCTCTCTCTCCCTCTCTCTCTCTCTCTCTCCCCCTCTCTCCCTCTCTCATAAAGAGCTGCATCTGACTTCACAGAATACATAAAAAAGCACTGATACTCTGTGTTTAAAGCGAAGCGTGAAGCTGCTGGGCTTCCTAAGTTTCAGCACTGGACAGCTCCTTAAACGCACCCTTAAACCACTCATCCAGGAATACAACGGTTAGGTTTCAGTGCTATAACTTGCCAGCATTTAAATATTTTATATATTATTTAGCAAAAATAATTAGACAGGCTTTTTTGTTTTATCTGTGTCCTCCAGCATATTAGATCTGAAATAAAACAATGCCTCTAACTCCTTATTGCCCAAGGTTCAGTTCCTCACTGCTATAATTATTACTCAATAATAAGCTTTCTAATATAATAAAAAGCCTGAGGTTGAAGCGCAGGGTATCAACTACGGACAGAACCGTATAAGAATCACTCAAAAAAAAAAAAAGATTTCCATCAGTTTCTCTCATTGACGTTAATGTAAAAAACTGAGTTAGTTGTGTTGTTTCAATGAAATGAAGTGAGTTGAGTGGTCAGTGTAATCTTGTTGAGTGAGACTTAACATCTTCCCCATTGGCTCCTGCATCCTCTATCTGCATACTGTTTTACTTGTTTTGCTCACCTTCTTGGTGTTGTCTTTCTGTGCATTTAGGTGTGCATCTTTCTTACATGAAGTAACTGCCCAGCCACAGTATTGTTGGCTGTTAGTGCAAGTTACCATATCATTTACTGCCGTCAGCTCATTAGCACAGTAATAACTTAACAAAACTATGTACAGTTCTGTGAAAAGTATTTGCCCCTTCTCCGTTTTTTTCTGTTTTTGTATATTTGTCACATTTGAATGTTTCAGATCATTAAATTAGTTTTAACATTAGACAAAATCAACCCGATTAGTCACAAAAATGCTGTTTTTAAATGATCATTTCATTAACTGAAGGAAAAAAGCAGTTCAGCCCTACCTGGCCCTATGTGAAAAAGTACTTGCCCCCTTAGCTACTAAATCAACCAGTTAACCAAATTCAATTGACTATTGAGTTCAATTTCACTAACACTACCCAGGCATGATTCCTGTCAGACCTGTTGGATCTAAACATCACTTAATTGTTGTTTTTTGCTTGTGTTGTCTTTATCTTATAAATATTAATTGGATTATCTGAAACATTTATATGTGACAAATTAGCAAAAATAGAAGAAAGTAGGGGCAAATACTTTTTCACAGCACTGTAGACCTAACTTAAACCTATTAAACCTAGTAATGCATAACAATGATCAGCCCAGTTAATTAGAACTCACTTGTGTGTGATTTACTTGAATTCACTGGGTATTACTCAACTGAGCATCTCAAAAGCTACTTAACACAGTAGCTGTGTGGAAACAATAGACATAGACATCACATTTTTAAGTAAATCCAACTATTCCTTTTTTGCGTAATACATAAAAATAATCAGTTCAGATAATTAGAATTCACTCAAATCACTTCAGTGTTTTTGTTGTACACATTATTCAATCAAGTGTCTTAGAAGCTACTTGACACAGTTGTGTGGAACCACTTGGCATAATATTTTTAAGTACATTTCATTTTATTGCATGCAGCACCTTTTTATGTAGAGTTCCCCATTCCAGGAAGTAGACAGTTTGCTGCTTAGTTGTTCATGCAGAAATTATTGAATAAAAGTCTAGAATAGAAGCAGAGTTTACACCCGGAGGACCAAAGAAATGTAAATACCAGTATCTTTTGCAATAGTGAGGCTTAAAATCATAACAGTTCAAACAGCTACATTGCCTAAGAATTAAATGTGTCAAAATCAACTGTTTGGTCCATTACTGAACAGCACGAAAGCACTGATGAGGTTTGTGATAGTGATCAACTTGACAGACCATGGAAGAGCAGAGTAGTGGACAGAGGTGCATAGTAACTTCCATCCACTCAGTTGCATGTGGTTAAAGGGGAACTCCACTGATTGTTCATAAGTTCTACATAAAAAATGGTTGAGATGTAAACTAAGTTATTCAGAGTGCTGTGATGTGAAATGCTTTGCTCTAGAGAAACTTGTAGAATCAGAATTGTTCACAGTGATGGTGATAGGAACCAGACGATGCTTCTGAAAGCTAACAGAAAGTTATTACATTAAATGATTAGGTAGATGCTGCCTGTTGTCTGACACATTGTTTTAAGATAGTTTTGTGATAAAGCTTTAGCTTAAAATATATTTGAATTCTTTTGTTTAATTTATTTATTAAGGGGGGAGGGTACATGTAGGGCACAACAGTCCCACAAAAACCTTATTTTTCAGATTTATACTATACTATATTTGTCACCATCAAAATAAAGTATTAAAACTCAAAAGCGATGTATAGATTCACTGGTGGTTTTAGATGGTACATAATATATATTTGTGTTGTAGACAACGGGACCCCTGGTTCTAATGCAAAGAAATCTAGTAGGTTGGTAGGTTTCTCTGCAAATTAACCATTTCACATTTAACCACTCTGAATAACTCTGTTTACATCCCAGTGTTTGTTTATTTTAAGAAACACATTTTGAGGATCTATTAAGCTTCCTTGTTCAGTAAAGTTAGATAAATGAACCATATAGATGTTACACACTTCTATATGGCTTATTAACTACATATGTATTAGGCATTATTTATTATGACATACATTTTGGAGGTCTGTTCTTGCATCATTGGTTGTCATAATGCACAATAAATACTAAGAGCTTGTTATGAAAATTTGTGAGCATGAATTATCACCATGTTAGCAGTTATTCACAACATATTAGTGTATAATTGGCAACATTTTATTCTTATTGGATCTAGGTTACTTTTGGTGTTTATACTTGTGTACTAATAAAAGCTAAAAAGCACTAACCAAGTATTCAATAAGTCATTTTGCATCACAAATTCAACGCATATTGATGGCATTTTGGTTGCCAAAAAAGACTGAAAGCTCATACTCCCAGCCGGGCGACCAGGGTCCTTTCTGTGTGGAGTTTGCCTGTTCTCCCCGTGTCTGCGTGGGTTTCCTCCAGGTATTCCGGTTTCCTCCCACAGTCCAAAAACATGCAGTCAGGCTGATTGGACACACTAAATTGCCCCTAGGTGTGAGTGTGTGTGTGAATGTGTATGTCTGTCTGTCTGCCCTGCGATGGACTGGCGACCTGTCCAGGGTGTATCCTGCCTTCCGCCCAATGACAGCTGGGATAGGCTCCAGCACCCCACCGCGACCCAGAAGGATAAGCAGTTTAGATGATGGATGGATGGATGGGTGGATTTTTGGTACATAAAACCACACAATGTTATAAGCAGACCTTAAAGCAAAAACAATGAAATATGAGAAAAAATGTAGGATATGGGTCCTGCAGAGCTTATCATGTTGTAATTAGAGGCTTTCACATAACCTTTAATTATGTACTAATACAGGTCATAATAATTGAACATTACTGGATGGTAAACCAAAAAAAGTTAAGAGTTCACCATACTATTTGATGGGCATGTACTTTTTAAAATATTTTCAAAAGGTTCTGTTGCTTGGACTAACACTTATTAGTGTGGATATTATTTATTTAATTTGTTTTACTCTCATTTTAGCCATTCACACTAATTATAATGTTTTTATTCCCCCTTTCTGTTTATCTCTTTCTGCACTCTTGGTTCAACAGCACCTGAACTCCTTTGCTGTTCTCATTATGAGCTGTAGCATTTTATTTTAGACCAAAAGGATCTAGCACATAACACGCTTCAATTCCTGTGCTGATAGATGCTACACGTGCATTCCACAACAGTTCTATAGGCGTCTCAGTACTTGAAGAGTTTTTTTTGACACTATCCTTTTTTCTTTTTTATTCCTACTGAAGAATTTATTTATTTATTTATTTATTTTTGCTTGGCTTCTTTTGCTTTTTAGTATAAATTCTGTACCCACCTCTTACAGCAGATGAACAAAGATTACTTTCAGACATGAAGACTAACACTATTCGGAATGCATAATGTCTCAAAATGTGCTTTCTGAGGATATCATGGATATCATCACTCAAGAACACTGGCCTGGTTAATTTGAGATGGGAGTCAAATGGGAGTTAAAAAACATTGTACTCGTACTTTTAGACAGTAGTTCTTTTTGAAAGTGGCAAACTTCAAATAGTAAAACTTCACAAAGATCGAAAAAGGTCAAACAACACTGGCAAATTACTAAGCAGAAGGATTACTATCAATATCAGTGTTCCATCAGTAACCAAAGTAACTAAAAATAACTTTTTAATTTTGATCAGATAGTTTAGCTTGTATGTCATAAACCTAGCCAAAACTATCACAGTGACTACATGGAGCCAACTGTGAAACATGGTGGAGGTAGTGTTTTAATATGGGGCTGTGTGAGTTTGGCAGGTGTAGGAGAGCTGACTTTTATAGACAGCATAATGAACACACCAAAATGCTCAATGAAGACATGATTCCCACTCTCAAGACACTTGATGGGAATGTCCCAACTTGACAATGACCATTCTGGCAGAATCCTATAGAACAGGGTTTCTCAACTACTGGGCCGCAGACCACAAGCGGGCCATGAAGCACCTTCTGTTGGTCTTTGGGCTAGTACTGAGGAGGAACCAGTGGTCCATATTGGTTAGAAAACAATACGGGCTTTGTAGATAATTGGTCTATCTTTGAGGGCAAGCCTGGTCTTTTGAGTTAGCATAGTGTAGCACGTAGTCTCTCAGATAGCCACCAGGGTAGGACAGTCAGGTGCTGACAAACCAGGGCCAAGGC